ATATGGAAAAGTTCAAGGGGTATGAATACTTTTGCAAACCACTGTACCTTACTCGAAGGGACAAAATGCAGGCTGGACCTCAAATTGATGTAATGGCTCTGTGGAAGTGTAATGTGAAAGCCAGGATTAGACTAGAGTTTTGCTTCCACAGAGCCACAGGGGATTTTAATAGTTTTATACAATTGTGGGGTTTTAATGGTGTTTTGTGCAATGTCTGTGAACAAGGAGAACTAAATTTTAACGAAATGCTAAAATAATTTATTTATTGTTCTTTATTTAGTTTTTTTTTCTTCCTTTGATCTGATGATATTGTGAATGTGCATTGTTACACTATTATTGTAAAATAAATGTTTTGGTAAAAATCAAAAAATCTTCTTCTTCTTCTTCTTCTTCTTCTTCTTCGTTATTTTTTGGCGGTTGCCAAACAACGTTAAGGTTCATTACCGCCACCTACTGGTGTGGAGTGTGGACTGGAACAGTCTGTCTTAAATACTTCATTAACAATTGAAAGGTTTCAGAATTTGAATTACTTCGTAATATTTCTATAATATCAAATCTTATTTTAATTTCATTGAGTCTTTTAATCAATTGATTTCTTTCATTTTGGTATTTTTTGCAATGTATTAAAACATGTTGTATATCCTCATCTTGTCCACAGTAATCACATTTTCCAGTATTATGTTTTCAATTATAAATAATGATTTATTTAATCCTGTGTGTCCTAATCTGAGTCTTGATATGACTGTTTCCTCCAGCGTTCCTCATTTCTCCCACTTTCTGTTGAATTTAGTATTTTTTGCTCACTAAAATCAAAGTATATGTCACAAAAATGGCTCATATTTGAGTTTGATGTACAGTTTTCGCCCCTCCATCAGGCAGTTTTTGTTCCAGGTTTTTAGCACTCTCCTAAAGCCTGATTCAAGCTCACAAAGACACGCTTGGCCCCTGGTAATTTATAGTGTATCTTTTCAAAATTTGACTATGTTACATAATTCCATGTCCTGATTTGTCCCCTCTTGGTCCCGCAGTCTTAGGAGACCCCTGAAATAAGTGAGCTTTCCACCAGGAGTATGACCCCGGGCCTTGGATATGTTAAAGGGGACCCTCAGAGAGGAGGGAGGGTCCAGGTTGGGTGGGAATCAGACTTAATTAAATAATACCCTTTTTAATAATTTTTCTTGTGTTATGGTCAAAAGGATTGTGTCTTCAGTGGGAGACGTTTGCACTGATTAATGTTGCTTTTGACAAATTAGGAAAAACGTTTCTGTAAATAAATGTCTCTGTCTTTCAATAAGTTATTTCAATTAAAAAGACAAAACTCATTCATGCATGTCTGATAAATCCTTGAATCTTCTGTGTTAGTCATGTGGAACTGTCTAAACGCTTTCTGGTACAAAGCTCCGCCTACTTACACAAAGCCCCTCCCTGGAGCTCAGTCTGCAGCCAAGCTCCCGCCCCCAAAACATTGCTGTGAAGACATGCTGAAGTGGGAGTGTCAGAAATGGTAGGAGTTTCTCCAAGAGACAGAGGCCAATTTCAAAGTGTTTAGATCAGGGGTCCTTAAGGGCCGCAGTCCTACGTTTTACATGTTTCCTGCTCCAACACACCTGATTCAGTCACTGAACTACCTCTTCAAGTTCTGCTGTACGGAGGACCAAAACTGACATAATTAGAATTAAAAGCAGAAACACATAAATGAACCACTAAATAAATAAATACATTTAAAATGCACCAAATAAATAAAAAAGAACTTTA